GATAGATAGATAGATAGATAGATAGATAGATAGATAGATAGATAGATAGATAGATAGATAAAAAAAAATGTTTATTTATATATTTTACAAAACTCCTGTAAGATACTTCACAGGTGTGAGATCATAAAAAAAAGATAAAATCCTTAATTGTTCCTGATGGTAATTATTTAATTGTTTTCCATATAAAATCAGCTCAAATTGGGATTGGGATCAAATGAGACAGAGATGGATAAACTGTTTGAACTAGCAAAAATGAGGTAGCCTACCTCTTGTTTAAAGGAAACCAAAATCTCACTTCTATTGCTGCACACCTGGAAGCGGATAATTGACAGATTTTTTTTTTTCTCGACTTTTCTTCTTTTCACTGGAGCAGAGTACTATTGCATCGTGGGAATAATAAGTGCACCGCGCTTACGCAACAGAGAGCGTCACTCGGCAGAAGGGATTGCGGGGCAAGGACGAAATTAAAGCGAGCATTTTTGAATTCCATTTTTGTTAATCCCACTGATTTTCTGAAGGGATTAGCGGACCGAGTATGATAGAGGCACCGCTTGGCTCGCCTGGCTCTGAGCTGATCGGGAGCTGCAGACATTAAGTGTTTATAGAGATGCGCCGTGAAATCTTGATGTCAGTTTCAATTTTTATTTTTATTTTTTGATCTCTCTGGACACATTCTGGCCTCTTACATCTTAATTTTTTGTTGCTTTTCTTAACACTTGGTCCAGGAGCGATGGAATTACCGCCAGCGCGCTTTTGACGCACGTTCTGTTGGGATGCACATGAATCTGGGATGTTGCGCAAGAATATATAACTTCCTGCGGGCGATTTCAGATGACAGAACTGAATATGCATTTCAACATTTCCATTTTCAGCTAAATATCCAGGTACTTTTTTATCTGTATGAATTTTTTTTTTTACAGTTTATCTAAATTACATAATTAATGAGAATCAGAATGTGTTTTTTTAATACTTGTACAAAGCACAAATAGTACAAAGTACAAAGCTGAGTTTGTTAAATATATGTGTAATGAGATATAATGATAAGATAAAGGGCATTATAATGAGTCACAAATCTCAAATACTTCATTTCTAAAACATGATTGTTCAAGCTTTGAAAGTTAAGTGGGTTTTCTTTTCTTGTTTTGAATGATTCCCACAAAATGTAAACTTATTCTGTGTTTATTGGCAGCCCTTTTCAACAGAACAGAATAAAACATATTATAGTGCTTAGGCATGTAAGGTCTCAATGGCAGGCAGCAGTTGCTTATTCTCATTCTAAAGGATTATCCTTTGCCCTGCAAAGTAATCACTGGATAATGCAACGTGACAGCATCCACAATAAAGATCTCCTCCCATGAGAGAGACAAACCAGCAATGTAGAATGTTATTAGGTCTCCATTATTATTATTTATTTATTTTTTGAGTTAGTTTACAAATTTCTGCTGTTTTTGTTTTGCTTTGTTTCCTTCAGGATATAGGTGTAGCCCACTTTTTGTGAATCACCGATCCAATGGAGGAGGAGAAATCAGAAGGTTACATTCTTTCTAAATCCACTTGTCCTGTACCCACTGGGCTTCCCATCAACTGGGGACTTATAACCGGCCCTGTTCCAGAGCCTGTTTTCCCAGCATCTTCACTGAGGACCTCACTGCCCCTTCCTCAAAGTTCAGCCTCACACGCACTACAGACCAAAGTAAAATCCCTGACTCAGAGAAGAACAAGGGGCAGGGAGAGGGAGAAGGACCGAGAGAAGCTGGACACAGGTGAGGTGCGTATGGGTTGTCCGCCTGGGCAGATTTCATCTGATGGGCTTCTCAGACAGAGGCAGAGAGCCAAAGGCCAGCTGTTTGTGCCGTCCTCCTCCTGGCGATCAACTGCAGCTAAAGATTTCAGTAGCAGCGATGAAGATGAGGAGGTAGAAGTTCAGGTCAGACTGGAAATTCACAGTCCACCAGTGGACCTCCAAACAGAGCAGGAAACAGAAGAAAACGAGGAGAAGAACTCAGAACAAGATGAAGGCCGGGGCAGCTCATGTGGGCTTGGGGAGGGCACCAGTATCGAAAGTCTTCTCTCAGATAACTCAAGTAGTGGCAAGGACGAGCCATCCCCTGCACCTCATCTGCCTGTCCTCTCCTCCTCCAATTCTAACACATCTACTTCCCTTTCTCCTACATGTTTAGCCAGACACTGGGCACCTCCAAAGGGCTTCTGGAGAGAAGCGCGCCCGGAAACTTTGCTTCTCAATGGGGTTGGCCCTCACAACATACCGCCAACTTTACCTTTAAAGGACTACACCCAGATAGAGTCACCGGCGGAACCTCAGAGCAGGTCCAAACCACCTCAATCTGTCAACAGGAATGAGGCAGAAAGTGTTGTTGAGGACACTGAAGAGGCATCAGTTTTTAAACATTCAGATAGTGTGGAATTTTACCTGGACAGAGGGGAAAAAAGTGAAGCAGATGGGGCTGATTCGACAAAACAGCTGTGCAGTTCGGACAGCTGGGAAAACATGTCTTCTCAAAGTGGAGTGCTGCATGCCGATCTGAAGCTTAGGGTGAAGGAGAGGGCCTACGCAAAGCTGAGGGAAAGACAACAAAACTGCAGAGAGATGCAAGACCGCCGTGGAGGAGAAAGCGTTGACTATTATGGGGATATAACATACAGAGTTGATTATAAAGGTAAGTGTCTTAATGGGAAGCAGTTTTATTTGAAGAAAATACTTAAAGTAACTGATCTCCTCCATGATTCACTCTTCTATCTGCTCTATAGTGTACTGTTTATGAGACATAGCTGTGATGACTTTAAACTCTGTTTCTCTTGTTATATTTCAGTTCAATTCAATTCAAAAACTTTTTACCAAAGGGAATTTATGTCTTGTAGTACTTAAATGTTAGTAGACACAAAAAGATCTTCTCTAGCGAAGGTTCAATTCTTTTAGCTGCTTTGAAAAAAGGAAATAATCATAATGAAATAGTTGAAAATGATTGATCTCACAATGGAGACATTCATTTCTGCATCTTAACCCATCCCCTCGGGGAGCAGTGGGCCCAGAGTGCAGGCTGTGAGGATCAAACCGGGTACTTGCAAGCTTCTCAGCGCACAAGCGCACTGCTCTAACCTCTAGGCCACCACTCCCCCCACTTATTATATGTATGCATATTTGAAAGCAAAAAAAATACAAAATGTATCACTGAATTATATATATATTTTTCACTGTTATCACAAAAATCATTATACATGCCAAATAAAAAAAATATATTTTCTGCTTTGGGACCCTCTATGGCATGCTTAAAAAAGTCTTATATGCCCTATCATCATAACTGGGGAATGTGGGGAGTTTACTTAATGCTACAAGAGGTTTTATCGAGACTGATTAGGCTTTTAGAACAACAAACATTCTGGGTGTATCAAGAAAAAAAGGATGAATATTAAAGGAATAGTACACCCAAAACATGATTAGCCTTCATTTTCTACTCACCCCCATGCTGAACAACACTCTGGAGTACTTTTTTGATATCTCAAATGCATCTGGAGATCTGGGAGGCTTCTTGCTGTCTGCTGACATTCAAATAATGGAGGTCTATGGCGACCGAGGCAGAAAGGTCCATAAAAGTCCACAAAAAACGTGTCAATATTCCTCCATACTGCTCGTCCAATGTATTCCAAGTGTCCTGAGTGGGTAGCATCCAGAATTTACTCGAAACAAAGTCATTTAGAATGTTTTTAGAGCATAAACAGTAGTGTATAGGATTTCCGGAAAGCGCGCACATGCGCGATCCCGACTCTACGGAAGCCGGCAGACCAAACCAGCGCATTCAGCTCGGCAAAGAACTCATGCTCTTCCTCAACACTGAAGTCCTCAGACATTTTTCTTTCGTTGTTTCTTTCTTTGCACAGGTAAACAGCACATTTCTTCTTCTACGCTTGCATTATTGGCAGAGCAGACGCTGAATGCGCACTTTCATCTGGTTTGGTCTGCCGGCTTCCGTAGCGTCGTGAACTCGCAGGCGCGCGCTTTTAGGAAATCCTATACACTACTGTTTATGCTCTAAAAACATTCTAAATGACTTCATTTCGAGTAAAATCTGGATGCTACCCACTCAGGACACTTGGAATACATTGGACGAGCAGTATGGAGGAATATTGACACGTTTTTTGTGGACTTTTATGGACCTTTCTGTCTCGGTCACCATAGACCTCCATTATTTGAATGTCAGCAGACAGCAAGAAGCCTCCCAGATCTCCAGATGCATTTGAGATATCAAAAAAGTACTCCAGAGTGTTGTTCAGCATGGGGGTGAGTAGAAAATGAAGGCTAATCATGTTTTGGGTGTACTATTCCTTTACATTTCAGTTCCCAAATCTAAACTCTTGGTAAATCCTTGAGACAAATTTAAGTCTAGAGAGCTTAGCAGAGGAGACTCTCTACAATGTAAAGAGATTACATCAAAGGGGACTAGCAATAGATCCCTGCCTCTGTATCCTCATCTAGTGAAATATTAGAGTAGAAGACTAGTGGGGGAGTTGTGGCCTAGTGGTTAGGGCATAGAGCTTAGATTCCTGAGGTTGTGAGTTTGAAACCCCCTCCCACAGACTGCCACTGTGGGTCTCTAAGCAAGACCCTCAACTCCCGATTGCTACCTGGGTGCCCCATGATGGTAGCCCACTGCTCCCCAAGGGGATGGATTAAATGCAGAGGTAAATTTCTACAATGTGAGATCAATAAAGTTCAATAATTATTATTAAGTCTAAGAGGGTCCCTACTGGTAAAAGGGCTATTTTATTTTTTTGATTCAAAGTAAAAAAAAAAAAAAAAAAAATTCTGAAACAGTTTACCAACCTTTACCTTTGATGGGAATTAGTATGGGGCTATTTTACAAACTTATCAATGGTTTAGCATCTTACATCTAAAATCAGTTTGTCCACATTGATCACCATTCAGCTGTTGCAGTAATTGAAAGCAGCATTCAGAGGCAGCTGCATGTCAGCTCAGGATGTTATGTTGAAATGCGGTATGTAACCTGGCTGGTTCCCAGCTTTGAACAGATGTCAGATGTGCAGATGTGCATGAGGCTGTTGCTATTATTAGCAGCCAGCCCAGTGGGGGAAGTGTCCCTGTGTTGGTATCTCAGTTTGAGCCATACTGGATGCCTTTGTATGCTTAAGGATCAGAGATTGTGTACTATCCCATTATGTTTATATTTTAAATGGACTGCTTATATCTAAAATTCAATGAAAAACATAAAAAATGCATATTTATGAAAATGTACTCCTTTTTTAGCAGCAGGCTTTAGGTGTTTTCTTATAACCTTGTATTTAAATTTGTTTAGACCTTTGTGATCTTGAATTAATTCATGACATTCAATATTTAAAGGAGATAGATAATAAAAAAATAGATTAATTCAATGTCCAAATGACCCCACTAGATTTAAACATAGATGACTGCTTTCATGTTGAATGTGGCCTCAAGTAAAAGCTACATGAGCACTGAACCTTAATTAGCACCTTATGCTGTAGAATGCTGGAGAAATAAAAAGAGCACAAAAGACAGTGTTTTTGTTGAAAATAAAGCTGTAATTTAACGTGACTTTCCTAGAAGGGTATATTTTAATTGCATCTTATTTCCATCACACATCTGCTCAGATATGTTCTCTCTCTTCTTGTTTTTTGCCAGTATCAGGGAACCACGATGTTCTAGAAAGCACAGACACTGAACTTCTTGCTCAGGAACTGGAACCATATTTGAGGTAAGCTCTAAGAAATACTGAATTGATACTGTATGTGTAGAAAAAACAACCCATAGTATATCCCTCTTAATATCCAATGCTTTGCTCAATGGGAAAATTGGGTTTCTTGCAATTTGGAAGTTGTTGTTTTTTTCCAGCTTTCTTACATGACAATATGAAAGGCTCTAGATGCCAGGGTACTTATCAGTCTGTGTATAAATTAGTTGGTGTTAAGTCAAATCAGGTTAATGGGGTTACTGACCAACTATAGTGATGTGTAAAAAGTCTATATAGTCAATTACGTTTTAACATGAAAAAACAGAGAAACACAAACAGTCATTGTTAATAAATTTAACTGGTCAAAGGGTGTAGTATTTCTGTTTTTTATGTTTTAAGAAGTTTAATTGAAGGAAAGGGTGTGGTAGTAAAGGTGATGCCATCAACAGGGATAGCGACTTGTCAGCAGTTTAGAAGTGAGCCGAAACATGTGAACTGTGGTCAGTTCTTCAGAAGGCGCAACGCACAGACATTTGGAGGACTAAACAGTTATTCCTCACCTTTAGCCATGTTTGAGCCAGAAAGGACATTTCCCAAATATCTCATTCGGATTAAAAGAAACCCCCTTGAAAATCAAGGACCCAAATTCTTCCAGAAGATACTAGAGAGTCACAGAATCAAAATTTCTTAAGGTCCAGTGTGAGATTTCCAGTGCTATGAAGTCAAAATGTTCATTAGGAAACTGTCGCGCACCCCATGCCTCTTTCTGCTGGCAAACTCGGGGTTAAAAGACCAAGGTTAAAGGACCACGGCCCTGATGTGATTTACAACCAGCAAACTCACCTGCAAAAGCAAGAAGAATATGAGAGACCAAATGATTCAGACAAACTGAAAACTGCAATTAAAATTACTTCAGCCACATGCTGATCAACTCCATACCACACAGCTCTGATTATCCTTACGAAAAGTAGCTCAAAACATCGACAAACCTTTATGAAGGCCTCTCATTTCTCAAGTAAAAAAAACAGCAACACCTGAATAATGATTAAATCTAGAAATATCCTTTAAATATATTCCTCCATGTGAAATCAATATAAAAGAACATCTTTGTTTTTTGGACTGAATTGCTAAATTAAATAAACTAATGATATTCTAATAGCTTTTAATCATAAAGCAGAGGGCAGGCTGCTGATTTTCTGGGATACTAATTGATAAGATGAAACAAGGTTACAAACTGTAATCTAATAAAACACAACGAGTTCTCATCTTGACACTCAGGAGAGAATGAATCACACTCTGGACGTTCCAATGATAATCCACGTGGCATGGAGTATCATGCTATCTTTATCACTGGGCAAGGGGATAAAGGCGTACAGACAACGAGTTACAATGCAGAGCAGCTTAGCTGCTGGTTGTTAGGATAGATGGACGGATAACGTTTTCTTTTGCTGCTCATGGTTGTGGCCACGCCCCAGTCTTATTATCGTGCATTGCATAAGACAGCTTAGGAAGATTCAGCTTCACTCAATGTTAAGTTAATCTTTGTAAAGTATGATGCTGGAAATGTATCAACACAGGCCAAGCTTTGAACATTTCAATACTTCCTCAGGTATTAGCGGCATTCAAAGAAATGCTGGTTATTTAAGCTGTTTACTCTTAAATCTACCATTTCCTTACAGTTTTAATTACACACACGGTATCTTCTGGTTGTAATCTCTGTTTTCGTTGTCATTATCAGGTCACTTCTGGTAATAAGCGATGAGCTACCTCTAAGCCCAAGGCATGAGCAAGCCAAGCGTCTTCTGGAGCGAGCCAGGCTCAAGGCTCGCTCCAACCACTTCAAAGACAGCCGTCCCCGCCGCTCTCAGTCTGATCAGAGATCATCAGTGTAAGTCAATGTTAGTTTGCGTTTATTTTTCTCTCAGTATTCGCATCTCCTTATTATCCATCGAACTGCTCTTTGCCTCGTTTAGTGAGTTATATAACTGTAAGCTTTAAAACCTAACCATGCTCTGTAATTATAAGGCTAAAACGAACAATGCTGTGAAAATATTTGCTTTTGTTCCGCTTATGTAACTGTGAGCATCACAAAGCTTCAATTGAAGAAAGAAGCATTTGGTCAATATGGGATTATGAGTGCTTACTTTAATACATTCATAATAATGGGCAGCAATGTTTGCGGCAGATCATTACTTTTACACTGGAAGTTTGAAATCCATGCTCATGCTGTAAAATGAGATAGGACATTATTCTGAATTAGTCCTGGGTCTGTTTTTGGTCTGATTATGAAAACTATAAATAACTTTCTCTATGTTGTTGCTTTCTACTTTAATGTGGCTGAACATTAGAAGTTTTTGATGAGGCCATGATGGTGAAGGAGGACCCAGTTGCAGAACACAAAAGTTCTTTAATGAGGATCTCAGAATAAACTTAAAAAGAGCACAGAAACCAGGCATGAAGATATGAAGAAAACAAAAAGAAGATTCCAGTGAGCCTCTATGAAGACCCAACTGCTTAAATACAGGGCTATTAAAAGGGAAAATGCAAGTCAAACAAGTGAGAGCAATCTGGTGAAAAATGGAAACATCTGCTGAGGATCAAGTTAATATTGAACTGAGGGAGAGGCGAAATAAAAAACAGAGGAGCAGTGGAAAGGAAGGAGTAGATCTAATATAGTGTAAAACAAGGTCATCATAAAAAATAAACACAAACCAGCAGTAGAAAAACAACAAAAACATAGTGACTTCCTCATAAAGAAAAAAAAAATCTTTGAATTTTTGGAACACCCTAAATGACTAACTATCATAATAAGACCAAAATAAACCAAATAAACCACAAAGAAACTACTGAATATTCCTAAAATAATAAACAGAAGCAAAAAGATTGTGAAAAATTATGACACACAAAAAAACTGCTCATTCGTTTTTGTACAAGAATAGAAATATCTATACTAGTTCTGCTCTACACAAACTAAGTTACACATGGACTCCAATCAGGGGCTTGCAAATGCATACATACAACTTGAAGCTTTTCTCATTTTGTGATGCTTTCTTTAATGGGATATATGTGGATACTTTTATTTTTGTTATAAATAAAAGGTTGAGAGGCATTTCTAATCACCCCTTTAGAAAGCTAGCGGGCCATTTCACAAAGCAGGTTTAACAAATTGCCAAAAATCCTCAACTCTGGATACGCCCACTCAGAGTTAAACACGTGCGTAACAAGTCTAAAAAGCCCTTATCAGTGGAGCATCAATCCGAAGAGTCACCATGACAACAGGTAACAGGAAGTTAATGCAGTTCATTCTTTAATTGGATCATGTCTAAAGGACATGTTATGCTTGTGTTTTTAATGCCTAATGTGTCTAATGAACACATGGAAGTTTAAACAGAGCCAATGTTCTGAGCTAATTACGCAATAGGTTCAGTTCAAGAACAAGGTTAAGCATCTTTCTCTCTTGCCCACAGTAACACGGACATCCTTCCCTCAATTAACCTAAACTCACACAAATTGTTTAATCTTCCACTTCTGGCATGGATCCTTCTGCTTCTATGCATTTGTTCTCATTCAAATCAGAAGATGGTGCTGTTCCCTTCTCCTTTCAGTCAAGTAAAGAAGCAATTGGAGAAATTGCATTTCAATAAGTCACCATGTCCAGATGGAGTAAGTCCCAAAGTCCTAAAGGGCTGTGAAGAGCATCTCTATCGGATTTTTACAGCACCTCTTCACCCTTAGCCTAACCCAGGAGATGGGTTCAGTATTGTGGAAGACCCCTTTCCTTGTTCCAGTACCAAAGATAAACTCAGAGCTCAAAAAGACCTCAGTGACTATAGACCTGTTTCCCTGACATCCCATATCATGAATGCACTTGCAACACTTTTGAAACGAGCAAGCAAACAAGCAGCTATCAGGACCCCTTACACTTCGCTTATAACCACCAGAAGAGCCATCATACATCATGATCCAACAAACCTGCTGTCATTTAGACAAGTCAGACAGCCTTTTTTTCTTTGATTTCTTTAATATAATTAACAAAATTAAGCCGGACTTACTATGTCAGAAACTCCAAAAGGCTCAAATAGAGGCATCAGCAATCGCCTTGATCATAGACTACCTTACAAACAGACCACCATCTGTAAGACAATTGGTCAGCTGTCTAATCAAGTGGTCAGAAGCACAGGAGCACTACATACTAAAAGGGGAAGTACTCTCATTATTGCCTTTTACTCTGTATGACTTCCAGTACCAGACAGAGTTCTGTCATGTGCAGAAATACTCAGATGACTCTGCTGTCATTGGGTCCATCAGAGGTGGATAAGAAGCTGAGTACATGGAGCTATTGAAGAGCTTTGTGTCATGATGTAGAAAGAACTATCTGATCCTTATTGTGAGCAAAACAAAGGATATAGTATGACTGTAGATTACCTTGGTGTTTACCTGGACAACAAAATGGACTTGAGAAGCAACTGTTAAGCTGTCAACAAGAATGGAAAGAACAGACTGTACTTCCTAAGGGAGCTTAAGTCTTTCAACCTTATCAGCAAGATGCTACACATCTTCTATGAATCTGTTGTAGAGGTCGATCTCTCCTGCCATCATCTGCTGGGGTAACAGCATCAGAGCAAATTACACAACAAAAAAACCCTCAGCAAGGCGATAAAGAAGACTGGCTCCATTCTACTTCTCTAGAACATCTGAGGAGGATTTCAAAAAAACACAACTTTCATAAAATTAAGAGCCTATCTTCTTTAGAAGACTGTTAACCTCCAACAGCGTGTTTTTAGTTAAAGGCTTGTCCAGATCCGGTTTGTGCAAGACAGACTGCTACCTGCAGCTATCCACATCCAGCCCTGTAACCAGCATTGAGAACACTGAGGTCATGTCCTCGGTATTTCCCCATTTTATCTTTTATTGTAATTATTTATTTTTCTTAATTCAGCGAAATGTCAAACTATATGATGACAACTGTTCTGACTTTGGTGTAAAGATCAGCATACATTCTCATTTGTTTGTCCTTATCTACAACAATTTGTTGAATTAAATTATAGTAAATCTGTGGTGTCTTATTTCTTCAAAATGACCTTCAGGGTGTTAATGTTTACTGTTAAGTTTGAAAAAAAAAAAAAGATTGGACGTAGTAATATGATAACACTTCTCTTTGGAAAATATCATTGTATCTCTTTACAATTGTACCGAAATGTTGCATAATTGTGAGTTATTCAAATTGTGCTACTGTAAAGCCTTGATTTATATTGCCTGCCGAATGTTTTACTGAGATATCAATAGAAATCCCCCCCCAAAAGCTTTTGTAATTTTGTCCACAAGTACTTTTGAATTTACAGTTTTGGCCCTTTGGATAAAAGTTTTGTCAGACATTGTTACAAGACATCCACCGTTAATCTTAAAAGAAGAAAACTGTTAGGTGTCACAAAAAAATATGGGTGAGATTCAGATTCCCGAAGGACCTTTACCCTAAATACGTAACTAGCATCGCGATAAATTAGCTTAGCTCAAAGGATATTAGTATTAAAAGCCCATTAAGATCTGAAAGAGTGTAAAGACAATTAATCCTTTTGGTTTCACTTTCATATCATGATTACTAACTACTCTAAGGAACTGTGGTTCGTTTTCTGATCTTTAATACAAATTCTTCTTAGCTACATTTTTTTTTCTATTGGTAGTTTTCTATTTCATCCGAAGCCGAAAAAATTTACTTTGTTTCTGGTGTATTTCTTTCACTTTCTGTAGTAATCAAGTTACTATTTTAGAGAACTGCCAGGCGCAGATGCATATCAATGGCTTTAAAATGTTATTGATAGTTACATGCTTTTCTATTTTATACAGGAAACATCAGCAAGTAGAAACTCCCAGTCACACAACAGTGCATAGAGCTGTTCAAACTAAAGAGGAGCCTCCATCTCAGGCCTCGTCTGGTCCTCTTCTGGTTCCCACACAAAGAGACACATCTCCGGGTGAGCAAGCAGGTCGACCCAAACGGTATGGCTGTTCCCCCACACGTGTACGCTTCGAGGATGAATCTGAGAAAGAAGCTGAGTCCCGTTATCTGGACAGAATGAGACAGCGCGGCAGACCTGGAATGCCCAAGTCCAGAACAAAAGACAATAATACAGACTCCAGCAGCAGTGGCTCGGAGAAGAGCAGAAGCAACAGAAGCATTTCTTTGCCACCTACTCAGAAACAAGAGGATCTTGTGACAACTGATGAAACAACTGTTATTAAAGAAATAATAGTACTGGTGAAAAAATGTGAAACATGTGGCTCCGTAGTCAGGGAACCTCAGCCGGTCTCCTCATCATCGGAGTTGCAAAACAGTGAGCCACAGCAAATCGTTGTCCCTGAGGACCCACGGGGGAAATCAACCCCTGTCTGTGCGCCATCAAACAAACCAGAAGTGAGCACTCGCCCTAAGGCTCCCCTTACTGTTACGTTTGCTGGAGCTTATGTGCTGGGAGAAAATAAGGAAAGCAATTCAGGATGGAAGTCTTCAGGCTTTGGAAAACTGAGGAGGCGGAGTAGAAAAGGCGAAAATCGTTTAGAGTCAGGCCACGGACCTTACGGCCCATCTTGGGCACAGAGACGAAACTCTAATCCACGGAATAGGGTTAACTTAAGCAGAGCTGTTACGTTTGCGCCTGGGAGCCCCGTTGCCTTAGAGCCACATTTGCTGGAGGCATCTGGGGGATTTAGAGAACCGCCTGCCCCTTCGCTACCTATAAAATCAGCTCTGAAGTCAAGCTCTAGAAATCGATCTGCAGTGAGTCAGTCAACAGTTCAGTTCCACGTGTCTCCAGTTCAGGGAGGAGATAGTGGGTCCCAATCTCTAGATTCCCCAGAGACAAGAAGGGAATCTCCTATTTCTTCAAACCAAGGGTCACCAGCAACAAGCAGCCCGGTACCCTGTATCAGGCCTTCCACTCTGAGATACTCCCCAGCTAGACCCCCAACTGATCTTCCATCTGCTGAGATCTGGGATGCAAATTCAGAGGTAGTAGGTAAGTGTATATGATTTTACTTTTGTAGGGCTGTGCAATTAAACAGTATCAATATATGTTATAAAAGACACCTGATCAATGTCAATAGTGTTATGCAAGTTTACCAGAAAAGTTAAACTTGTAATTTGCTTATTGACCAGGATTTTTTGTCTCTTACGTAAAAAGTTGGACTCCTGGATCGGCTGTTAAAAATTCGGTCGCTTTGTGTTAAAATAAACACAAAAGACCAAGGGTTAAAATACAACGGTACCTTTATTAGCTAATAACCACACAGTATTATTATATCTAAAAAATACTCAGACAGTAAAAACTACAGAAAATAAGCACAAATAAAAAGGTGAAAGGGCTTTAAAATTCCTTTTAAAGTCTCTGAGGAATGTTCAAGTTTTAAGGCTCAATGCATTGAAAGTGTCATTTAAGGTAGCAGCAGATGAATGTGAATAAACCCTGAAGCAGAAATGTTAAATGCATTCAAACAGTGCAGTTTCATTTGATTTTATGGTGAAACATTAATAATGACTCAGGAATGCATTAAACTGTTATTAAGCTGAAAGGGAATGGGTTAACTTAGCTGACCCCAGGGCGTTTGGTCAAGGCAGGTCCAGCTGAAACAAAGGAAAGGTTAGAGCTGACGATGTGGCCTCTACAATGTGACCACTGTAGCAGTGTCTTCAGACCCACGTTGCTCATTCAGTGGGTTCTAGAAGCATTAGCATTCAGTTAAAACTCTCATAACCATCAGCAGTTGAATCAGAAAACTTATTTCAAATAAGACACAAACATAACTATCTATTCTACCTAGTTCATCAAAGCAGAGCATTTATCACACATTAGATGGAGAGAGGGAAGGATGGATGTTACCGTTTTGACTCACTGGAATGGAAGAGACTATCTCCCTCGGCTCAGTTGTTTTTCAGGCCCCGTCTTTGGTCCAGTCCGTTCATCCAATAGCAGCTCTTAAAGAGATTTGCATTAATCCGATGCAATAACAACAGACAACTTTGCAGGGGTTAATTTTACAGCTCACAGTAGCCTGGGATGTTTCCCTTTAGCTACGGCGGATAGCTGTCAGTGGCAGCGGCGACTGATGTAGCAGCGGCAGCGGCTTTCAGGCAGCGGCAGGACCATTATGGCACTGGTCTGGCTTCTAACGGCTCCTCTGTAAACAATTGGGCAATTGGGCCCAGCTGTTGTTCCTTCAGCAGTTAGAACAGAACTGGATTAGCTCTCCTCTGCTGCAGCAAAGGGATCCATGAATCACTGCGTTCAACTCAGTTTGAATCACTGGAAAAGACGTAAACTACGTTCAGCTCCTTCTGAATTAAAGGAAAGGACGGTCACTACGATCAGCTTCTTCTGAGATGTAGGAAGAGTGGTCTGACTCGGTCCAGCAAACACAGAGTTTTCCTAAGGACGATTCAGACAACTCTGAATGTCTACCCTAACTCCTAAATCCCTCAATCACTATATAGAGTAGGACTATTTAGTGGACTCCAGCGTTGGTCACATAACTCCGCGTCCCTGCACAGTGCATGCACCATCTTTGTCACAGTATTTGTCGCTGCTTCACTACCCAACAGCAGGCCGTGTCACAACAAATCCCATGATGCTTTGCACAGGAGAGCTCTTGCAAACCAATTTGGGATATATCTACTTTTCTAGTGACCATGGATGATCGCTACTTTTCAAGGTGCATCGTGGGAAATTTTGATTCCACTACTTTTTTTATCTACTAGACGTTTGGACACTCATTTAAATGGCGTAACCACTATATAGTGATTAGGGTGGACGTTCGGACACAGCCCAGGCATTTCGTGGCCACAGGCCACTGGCAACAGGAAGTTGAATGGGAAACAGTTCCTTTCATAAACTCCACTGAAGGGGTGTGCCTTCACAGTGGAGTTGTTCTGACTACATCACTGACATTTGATCTCAGCAATAGAAAATAAAATACAACGTCCTATAATTTCACTCAAAACATGGTGCCCTGGGGGATATAGGAAAAGGAAAGGATTTAGCCTCTCAACCTCTCTTCGCCAAACTATGCAAGGTTTGTAATAGGGCTGAACTATTTTCATATTAACTAGGTTTACAATCAAAATATACATTTCCTTTCTCCTATTCCTAATTTTGAAAAAGTAAATCAAAAAATGAATAAGAAATTATCGATATCACCATATCGAGCAGCCCTATGCTGAAGATACATTTCACCTGTAGTTCCTCTTATGTAAGCAGATCAAAAATATTAATTCCTCTATTGTCTTGTAAATTTACTCTATACGATATTATTCCAGTGACCTATTACTAAAATTATTGTCTGAATAACTTTTATGTTCAAAATTATAGTCATTAATACATTAGATGGGACAAAATATGCAGATTCTTACAGTTACTCATTGGTATACAGATCGGTGTAACCTGTTGCTGCTTTGTTTAAACAGGTCTGAATGGAGAAACTGGTCCTGGTTCAGAATTTCGAGCTCTGCGTGGCATGGGTATGTCTCGGGCTGAGGATCTAAGAGCTGAACTGCTGAGAGCTGAACATCTGAAAGCTGAGGCTTTGTGGGAAGAGAGCTCTGATGGTTCCAGGTTTGTATTTCATAACCCTACACACAAATATCCGCTCATCCTACAGCTGTCTCTGCAACAACTGTGCGTGCATCTGCTCCAGGAGGGAGATTAAAATAAAAAAAAAAAANCATCTCGTGCTGCATTCACTGCAGTCCGACATTAGAAATTAGCGGTCGCAATTCTCAAATTATCCATAATAATAATAATTTATAAGCCTCGCCACCCCTACAGCCAACTGGGGTGGCAGCAGGGGTGGCAAGGCTGTCATTTAGGGTGGCAATTGCCACCCTATGCCACCCCAGTAGATCCGCCTATGCCCCAGGGTGTTTGGTCTAGGCAGGTCCAGCTGAAACAAAGGAAAGGTTAGAGCTGACGATGTGGCCTCTACAATGTGACCCGTAGCCAGTCCACTGTAGCAGTGTCTTCAGACCCACGTTGCTCATTCAGTGGGTTCTAGAAACATTAGCATTCAGTTAAAATTCTCAAACTCATCAGTAGTTCAATCTTACTTCAAATGGAATAAAAACATGACTATCTATTCTACCTAGTTCATCAAAGCAGAGCACTTATCACACATTAGATGGAGAGATGGAAGGATGGATGTTTTGACTCACTGGAATGGAAGGGACTTTCTCCCTCAGTTCAGTTGTTTGCAGGCCCCGTCTTTGGTCCAGTCCGTTCATCCAACAGCAGCTCTTAAAGAGATTTGGATTCATCTGATGCAATAACAGGAGACAACTTTGCAGGGGTTAATTTTACAGCTCACAGTAGCCTGGGATGTCTCCCTTTAGCTACGGCATTTAGCTGTCGGTGGCAGCGGCTCTCAGGCAGCGGCGGGACCAGTATGGCCCTGGTTAGCGCAGCGGCTTCTAACGGCTCCTCTGCAAACAATTGGGCAATTGGGCCCAGCTGTTGTTCCTTCAGCAGTTAGAACAGAACTGGTTTAGCTCTCCTCTGCTGCAGCAAAGGGATCCATGAATCACTGCGTTCAACTCAGTTTGAATCACAGGAAAAGACGTACACTACGTTCAGCTCTTTCTGAATTAAAAGAAAGGACGGTCACCACGATCAGCTCCTTCTGAGATGTAGGAAGAGTGGTCTGACTAGGTCCAGCAAACACAGAGTTTTCCTAAGGACGATTCAGACGATTCTGAATGTCCGCCCTAACTCCTAAGTCCCTCAATCACTATATAGAGAGGGGACTATTTAGTGGACTTTATAATGAGCTCAGTTAACTTACTATTTGGATGGATGTTCACTACTCTTAGCTCCCCCGTTGGTCACATAACTCTGCCTCCCCGCACACAGAGCATGCACCATCTTTGTTACAGTATTTGTCGCCGCTTCACTACCCAACAGCAGGCCGCGTCACAACAAATGATGCTTTGCATGATGTTTTGCACAGGAGAGCTCTTGCAAAAAACAATCTGTGATATATCTGCTTTTCTAGTGACCATGGATGATCACTACTTTTCAAGGTGCATTGTGGGAAATTTTGATTCCACTACTTTTTTTTATCTGCTAGACGTTTGGACACTCATTTAAATGGCGTAACCACTATATAGTGATTAGGGTGGACGTTCAGACACAGCCCAGGCATTTCGTGGCCACAGGCCACTGGCAACAGGAAGTTGAATGGGAAACAGTTCCTTTCATAAACTCCACTGAAGGGGTGTGCCTTCAGATGGGAGTTGTTCAGACTACATCACTGACATTTGATCTCAGCAATAGAAAATAAAATGCAACTTTCTATAATTTCACTCAACACATGGTGTCCTGGGGGATATAGGAAAAGGAAAGGATTTAGCCTCTCAACCTCTCTTCGCCAAACTATGCAAGGTTTGTAATAGGGCTGAACTATTTTCATATTAACTAGGTTTACAATCAAAATATACATTTCCTTTCTCCTATTCCTAATTTTGAAAAAGTAAATCAAAAAATGAATAAGAAATTATCGATATCACCATATCGAGCAGCCCTATGCTGAAGATACATTTCACCTGTAGTTCCTCTTATGTAAGCAGATCAAACATATTAATTCCTCTATTGTCTTGTAAATTTACTCTATACGATATTATTCCAGTGACCTATTACTAAAATTATTGTCTGAATAACTTTTATGTTCAAAATTATAGTCATTAATACATTAGATGGGACAAAATATGCAGATTCTTACAGTTACTCATTGGTATACAGATCGGTGTAACCTGTTGCTGCTTTGTTTAAACAGGTCTGAATGGAGAAACTGGTCCTGGTTCAGAATTTCGAGCTCTGCGTGGCATGGGTATGTCTCGGGCTGAGGATCTAAGAGCTGAACTGCTGAGAGCTGAACATCTGAAAGCTGAGGCTTTGTGGGAAGAGAGCTCTGATGGTTCCAGGTTTGTATTTCATAACCCTACACACAAATATCCGCTCATCCTACAGCTGTCTCGGCAACAACTGTGCGTGCATCTGCTCCAGGAGGGAGATTAAAATAAAAAAAAAAAATCAGGGAAACAGTACTCTTGATATTACTGCTGACTTCTACATGTGACTACTACAACATGTTTGCCCTCTATTGGAGAGAGAAAGCAATTACCGTTTTAGATATTACAGTTATTTAGAAAATACAATGGTAATCACCAATATAGATTTCAGCTGACTTGCGTGTTGTACTTTATTGCATTTCTGCACTGAATTTAAACAGCAGATTGCACTTTTTATATGCAGCTTAAACACATCCAATCATAGAGCAAGCAAAAAGACTGTGTCAAAGTGGCAAAAACAAGACGTACGAAACATCCAAACTTACAAATAAGAATACATGAACTAAATGAATAAAGGTTAGTAGAAAAAGAGCTACCCCATCTAATGGGGTAAATGGAAAATGATTATTATTAAAATTATTAACATTCAGGTAAAAAAAGAAAAAAAAAAGAAAAAGACATTTTACAACAAACACTTCCAGAGTGGGTGAAAACAAATGCAAACAGGGATCAACATGACTTTTGGAATGAGATCCATTTATTTTTTTGCATATATAAGTTCTTCAATACATTAGTTATGGATTTTTTAATGGCATTAAAATATTTTGATTATGTTTAAAATATTATAAGGATGCTTTTATATGCATTCTTGAACCAAGTATAAATTTTTGGTAGATCAGCTCCAATCTAAACAATAATTTTATAGTTGATCTAAATATGATAGAATAGAAAAAATAGCTGCAGTGGAAGCAAAAGGTAGTGAATTTAATGTATGTAATAGCCGAAACACCATAGTGGACAATTATGATGGAGCTTGTTGTAGATTTCTTTCCCTGTAACTAATATGGAGACATATGCTGACATTTGACGTCTATATTTACCTCGCCAAGCAGCTTATCTTTTTAGTTGAGTTTGTGTCTTTTTTTTTGTCTGTCTGTACAGGATGACTCTAAAAGTTATGAATGGATTTTAATGAAATTTTTACCAAAGGTGCACATCAGTCCACGGAATAATCCATTAAATTTAAGTGATAATCCACATCATAATCCAGATTCAGGAATGTTTTAGGATTCGTTAACATTGTTTGGCAGAACAAGAGGTTCCCCCCTAAACCAGAGAGTGGCAGCAGTGAATACTTATAGGTTCATCATCTGACTCAAAAAAAGTCCACAACTATTACACCGAAGACAAAAAACCAGGAAAGGTGAGCCATGCCTGGCTTGAAGTCTCATTCTGCTGATTAAGTAAGAAAGCAGAGTGAATGAAGGTGAGAACAGAACAGACACCAGAGGCTGCAGACACACGCCTTATTAATGAACTTATGAAAGAATTTTAAGGAAATTGTTACCAAAGGGGCTCCTCAGTCCAAATCCTTTAGTATATTGTAATGATCTAGATTTTAGATCATGTGCCAGTTTTAGCTATAGGTGTAAGTAGTAATAGTAGTTATTTTTGTATTCACAGTGTGCAACATGTTATGTCACATTTTCTGATAACACAGATCACTTCAGGGCTGTACATGTTTTTACCCTGAGTTCTAATGATGAACAAAATAAAATATTGATGTGGACTACACTTTGTTATGATCTTTGAGTATACAAAGCTATTTTCCTTGGAAGTAAATTTACATAAATACACTTAAACAGGGAAATCCTTTCTTCTGAAAAAATGCAGAATCCTTGATATAACTCTTGGACCAAATCTGCCTTAGTATAAACTTCAGAATAAGAGTATAAAAGCACATTTAGGACCTGTAATTAGCAAAATTACCCCTTAAGTATTAACACTTGTGTGTATCTCGATGTTTGTTACTGATTTAATATATTTTTGCTTTTACCTTTCATTTTCCTTTATCAGAAAACTTGATGGAAGGCCAAAGCTTTTCTTGCGTCGTTTCTTTTCTTCCATCGGACTAAACAGCGTCGGCAGACTTGTAAAAGGTGGTCGCTCCAGTAGCATGGAACAGCTCAGTCTTCCCACCGTCCAGCGGGCAAGTTCAGCCTCGCCAAGCCCCACACGGAGACCGCAGCCCACCATTCGTATACAGAGAACACCCTCGCTGCAAACCCTGAACACAGTGAGCAAGAGAGCATTTTTATTTTACCTGAATCGAAATTGTAAGCCTTTTTTAAGCACTATAATAAATATCACAACCTGCTTATTTTAATATCATGGTGTATTAAACCAAAATTAAGCAAACCCCTTCTTCAGTCAATCACAGCCTATTTTGGCATATGTATAAAAACATTTATGTGTGTTTTATGTTTTATAATTTGACATGAAGGCACTACCTCAGAAGCCCTTTTTTTCAACAAGAAATGAAAAACTTGATACATTTCCACTTGTTTGCCACTAGGTGCTCCCACTGGCCCAGCTGCGCAAAGCCTCCTCTGTGCAGAGTTTAGAGAGAAGAACAGATCGCTCAACAATTCTGGGAGAGGTCCAGATACCATATGGCTTGGCACCCAGGTGGGCCTAAAGAAAAGCGGGAAAGCCTGAGTCGGGCAGAGAAACATCTGTGTATGGTTCAAGTGATTCATTTCTAAACCATATTTATGTAATAATGTTTGTTTTTTGTTTTTGTTTTAGCCCTGATAGCCCCCAGATTGAGATTCACAGGGCCTTAAGTGTTGAAGATGTAGTTGTGGCCAGAATGGTCCATCCAATGGGCCGAGTTACCCAGGCTTTCCCTGATGGAACTATCCTGCTGGAGCTCATCAAACCCCCCAGTGGACCCTTTGGTTTCGTCATTTCAAGGGGAAAAGGTCGGCCGGACACAGGTAACATTTCTTTACTTTCTTATTAACTTTTTGAAAAAAAAATTATTTTAGAGTCTTTTGGACAGTTTTATGCCTCTGACCACGGTAATGGTCCCTTACACTGGTCATTAATACCAACTGTTCTGCAGTTAGAAAAGTACACAACCTTGATTCAAAAAAATAACCCATTCACGTGATTCTAAAAAACTAACATGTATTAAATGCAGTTAAATCTGTTGGTCCATGACAGTAGATGAAATTTAAGTAGCTCATCACAGGAGAGAGAACACAAGAACTTTCATTGTCTGCTACCAACAGGTGTATATGTCGAGAAAGTCGGTGACGGTGGTGTAGAGGGCCTACTGGGCGTTGGTGATGAAATCCTACAGGTTAATGGGGAGGCAGTGGCAGGACACAGTCTGGACCAGGTGACCCGCCTCATGACTCGGGAAAGCACTGCAACGCTCCGCATCTTGCCTGCCCGACGCAATCTGCGCTGAACTGGCTGGATAGACCTGGCAAACAGCCTATTCCCCCTGGAATCACAATCACCCACTGCTCATGCACTGCAAACTGGCTGGATCGTATTCTATATGTGACACACAGTAGGTTTTGGTAATGCTATGAATAGTCAACAAAGAGATCATTTCTTTTAGAGCCAACAAATTCAGCTGCACAGGGATCTTAGATGTTGTGATTACTGTGTATTGTGATATAGAATAGGAACTCAGACCTGGCACCTTTTTATAACTGAACTATGATAAATAGCTCAATTCACAACTTGTTTTTCTTTTATAACATGCCAGTTTACTACAAAAGTCACTCTTAAGGTACTTTGCAGGACTAGCACTTCCCCTTAAACATGCAGAAATATATAATATATTCAATACAATCACATAGGCAGATTTAGATTTGACTGTGTGTATTTCACTTTGATCCTATTTGCAGCTATCCTCCCTTGAGAGCAAATATTCAATGTCTCACCTTGATTAAATTAAAACAAATTGAAATTAATTTAATTTGTTTGAATGAACAAAAATGTGCACTTTTAAAAACACTCATCCCTATGACTGTTTTGGACATTTTCTGGTATTACAACCACTAATTGCATTGTATTATGCTTTGAGATTGAAGAGTAATTGCTTTGGGAATGAAGATGGGAAAGAAAATATTGAATGGTTTCGACTTCACAACCTATTACAATAATAAATCTGGAAAGTTTTGTCTCCATATGTTTCTAACTTCCTTCAAATCAAATATTTGTACATGCATATTTCATTTTAGTTTCAGCTACAGATTATGAGACCATTAGGGTGTGTTCCTACTAGCTTATCTTATCAACAGTTTGGAAGGAGAGCATCTGTATTAATCATGACATAACTGCTTCAAAATACAATAACTTTACCCTTATGTGCTCAAACAAGGAATTCTTGCATCTGTTGGATCCATTGAAGCCTGTTGATTACTTTAACAGTTTCATGTCTCACCCTGCTAACCTGAAACAAGTGAGACAGTAACGATTCTTAATTAGATCCAACAGATACACAAACTCATAAAATGTAGGATGAAAACGCTGATGGACTTGGATTTTGATTTTGAGACACTTGATGGTGCTGAATTTTATTGAGGGGTATAAGAGTTAAGGCAGCTGAACACAAATGCACATAAATGCCATGTGGCGGAAAACCATACACTATTTCACTTTTACTAGATAAAATAAAAACATATATAGATTTGTGGTTGTTATAGGGAAAGAAAACAAACAGGAATAAATAAAAAATGTATCACTTTTATTTAAAAATATATCAGTTTAATATAAAATAATATCTGGAATTTCATTTTTATATGTTTAGTTTGGTCACATTTGTCACATTTAAAACTGCCTGGTATTTCTGTCTTTTTTTTTTTCAGATAAGTGTCAAATTGTAAAGAATCTGATATTGCTCAGTCCAAAGACAACAGATAAAAGTCTGTTTTAGTGAGATGGCCATTGTGTGGACCACATGCTTCCAAACATTGCTTTCACACCACTAGCTGTTATTTACATTTTTTTTTTTTTTTTTGGTTTGTTGCTTGTGAAATAAAATATATTATTTTGTCAAACTATTTGCTTCAGTGTAATACTTTTCCCTTAGTATCCACATTTGTTCCTCATAAAAAAATATTGATATATAACAAATATAACACGTTTGGCAGTGTTATGGACTAGAGATTGAAATAAAATCGCACAAAAAATGTAGATTTTGATAATTATGCAAAAAAATATGTTGGGGGAAAATAAATATTTATTGACTTATTTACCTATTTTTTTTATTATTAATATTTTTGGCCTGTTTTGTTTTATGCCTTTCATCAACCTGACTGGTGGGTATATTACACGGAAAGCTGCTGTACACACAGGATGCAGGATGACGGTCGTGACCACTGTTTACGCAGATGCAATGTGGATTCTATCTATCTATCTATCTATCT